AAATGGACCAAGGGCAGGCAGCACTTTCCATCCTCAGGCCCCGTGATTATCCTTTACCAACATTTGAATCCTCCTAGGATCCTTGTCCAGGATCTGGAGATTCCTTCTTTGCTTGTTTCTTATTAGGGGAAGATTTGTGATACAACTTTTAAAGCTATAGCTGGGCCTTGTTCCATAAACAATGCTCCCTATCATCTAGAACACATGTGTCAAACACAAGGCCCGCGGGCCAAATCCGTCCCGCCAGGCCTTGCAATGTGGCCCGCACCGTGCTGTCATCACTGCACTCCGCTGCGTTTCCATCACAATGACAGTTTATGACTGTTCAGTAAACCATTCGGCCCGCGATTTAGGCTGGATTTTAGATTTTGGCCCCTTCTCTGATTGAGTTTGACACCCCTAATCTAGAATGTCCACCCGTCCTGCAGCTCCTCATGCAATTGTCTTTAAGGCAGAAATTTCCCAGGAGGCTGCCAGTCCCTCTATCAACTACACTGTGGCTGCTCCTGCCTGGCTGGGCCTGACAGATCACAGGTGAGCTCTGGGTTGCCAGGGTGAGACCATAATCCTGGCCAATGCATGATCCCATTGTAGGAAGCAGATATAGGGTTAAGCCTCGGACTGACCTGCTGGCAAAGTTGCAGACAAGTCCCAGCTTGGAGGGCACAGTCCTCTAAGTATAATTAAACTTTATCTTGTAACTGCTCCCTCGATCTTTCCTGGGTAGCTAGTGGGCTGTGCGAGGGGCAGCAAGTGCTGCCAAAACAAATGAAACTTACAAGGACATTATAAATTACCTTATTTGTCCCTGACTATAAATAAAGCGTCAGTTTTGCAGGCTGGATCTGTTCTGTGGCCTCAGCCAGGCACAGAAGATCCACCTAGACCCAGCTTATTCTCTAGTCTTTTTTCTTTATCTTTCACTGGCCCTCCCTCAGGCTCGCTGAACTCTTGGCTATGCTGGCGAGACACACCCCATAATCTCCCTTGCTGCCCAAGGTAATTTCTGGGCCCTTGTGGTTCTGAGGCTCACAGTCTCAAACAGTCACCAGCTTACATGCTCAATTGTGTTGTTACCTATGAAACCTAAAAGGGAAGCTGTACCTGAGCCTCTAGAGCTTGTACATGTGTCAAACACAAGGCCCGCGGGCCAAATTCGTCCCGCCAGGCCTTGCAATGTGGCCCGCACCACGCTGTCATCACTGCACTCCGCTGCGTTTCCATCACAATGACAGTTTATGACTGTTCAGTAAACCATTCGGCCCGCGATTTAGGCTGGATTTTAGATTTTGGCCCCTTCTCTGATTGAGTTCGACACCCCTACTCTAGAGCTTGTAGCCCCTGGGATCTACTAATACTTCTCACCACACGGAAGAGATACACGGTCTTGTGCTGAGTGTATTTCATGGAGGGTGTGGTGAGAAGTATTAGTATTAATTAGCATACTGAATGTTTTCAATCTGGGTGAAAAAAAGACACTGCTCTGCATTTACCCCCAATACCCACCCTGTGATCAGGAACTAAAGGTTTACCACCTGTATTTGGAACACTGTCTTTTGGAAATATCCTTTAAGATCAAGGGCCAGAAGAATTGCTTGGCACTTTTGAGTGACCTCCCTCTTTTCTGATGGCTGCAAATGTCACCCAGACACTCATCAGGTGGACTCTGCCAGGAAGGCCTTTTCAGGACAGCCAGAGCTGAGGATAAACACTGGTTCCTGGCAGCCCAGGGCTTCTGTGATAGCGCACAGCTCCCCAGGAAAGTAGTTATCTAAAGTAAAGAAAGATAAGGCTGTAGTTGGCCTCCAAAGAGAAAGAGAAGTGCCCATTCCCAGGGCTAGGCCAAGGCCGAGAAAAAGGCATGGGCGTCCGATGGGTTTCTCCTGCAGGGATATGAGGCTCCTGAGACCCAACCCTACATGTAGGAATCCTATATAATAAAGAGGTAATATGCAAATTGACCGTCACTCTAACACACAAGATGGCTGCCCCCATGTGGACACAAGATGGCTGGCAGGGGAGAGCAGTGAGGGGTGATCAGGCCAGCAGGCAGAAGCGGTTAGGGGCAATCAGGTAGGGAGGCAGGTGAACAATTGGAAGCCAGCAGTCCTAGATTGTGAGAGGGATGTCTGACTGCCTGGTGAGATCGGGCTTAAACGGGCAGTTGGACATCCCTCAAGGGGTCCCAGATTGGAGAGGGTGCAGGTTGAGCTGAGGGACATACCCCTCCTTCCCCACCCAACCCCATGCATGAATTTCGTGCACTGGGCCTCTAGTATTTAATAAGTCTTATGCCCACTATATGGCCACAAGGGATAATTTATTGTGTCTTTGGGTTTCCAATGGCTCCAAATGCATGGATAGTCAACAAGAAGGGGCCACATTTACATCAAGGGTCTATTGTAGCAGCCTTTTAAAAAAAATTCTATTTTTACATTATATACATATATATTCATTTTGTATTTGTATATTATACACATTATATATATAACATATTACTTAATATATAACGTATATTATTTATTACATACTAGAGGCCCAGTGCACAAAATTCATGCATGGGATTGGGGGGAAAATTATCCCTCAGTCCAGCCTGCACCCTCTCCAATCTGAGACCCTTCGAGGGATGTCCGACTGCTTGTGGCATTGGGCCTAAATGCGCAGTTGGACATCCCTCTCACAATCCAGGACTGCTGGTTCCCAACTGCTTGCCTGCCTGCCTTCCTGATTGCCCCTAACTGCTTCTGCCTGCCAGCCTGATCATCCCCTAACCACTCCCATGCCAACCTGATTGATGTCTAACTGCTCCCCTGACAGCCCATTTGCCCCCAACTTCCCTTCTCTGCTGGCCTGAAGACCCCTAACTGCCCTCCCCTGTAGAGTTGATCACCTACAACTGCCCTCCCTTGAAGGCCTGGTCCCTCCCAACAGCCTTCTCCTGCTGGCCATCTTGTGGTGGCCATCTTGTGTCCACATAGGGGCAGGATCTTTGACCACCTGGGAGCAGCCATATTGTATGTTGGAGTATTGGTCAATCTGCATATTGGTCTTTTATTAGATAGGAGAGAGGCCTGGTGCATGAGTGGGGGCCAGCTGGTTTGCCCTGAAGGGTGTCCCTGATCAGGGTGGAGGTTCCCTTGGGGTGGCCTGAGCGAGGGGCCTGTGGTGGTTTGTAGGCCATCCATGTCCCCCCAGCAACCCAAGCGGAGGCCCTGGTATCTGGGATATATTTACCATCTACAATTGAAACTTTGTAGCCCTGGAGTGTAGCCAAGCCTCCTGCTGCTCTGTGGCAGCAGCTGTTTGGATTTGTTTACCTTGTATAATTGAAACTCTGTAGCTTGAGTGGAGGCTTAGGCTGGCTAGGGCAGGCGGAAAGCTTGGCTTGACTCCTTTGCCGGGGAAATGCCTCCCTCCTGCTCTCTGTGGCTGTAGACATCTTGGTTGGGTTTATTTGCATACTTGCTCTGATTGGCTTGTGGATGTGGCTTTTGGGCGTGGCTTTTGGAGCAGAGTGATGGTTAATTTGCATATTATTGTTTTATTAGGTAGGATTATATATCATATAATTACACATTATATGGTATAATATATATGATGTACTCAAACTTATTCATAACAGAATAGAGAATACTCATAATCATCAAATACATGTTTTTGCAGCTGCTTACCTTTTCATAGCTGGTATTTATAGCTACCATCTTCCATTGCCCATTTAATATTCCCTTTGTTCTTATCAAGCACCTCAGCAGTTTGTGTTTCTTTGCCTGGTTGTTTTATTTGTAGTTTTCCACTGACATCAATCACAGGGCATGGTAATATTAAGAAACATGCTAAAGAATTTCCTGAATTTCAGACATCGTCTTCCTAACCTCCATTGCAGAGTAGCAGAAGGAAGCCTGAGTCCAAGTAACACCAAGGCTATAAAGACGGTGCCTGCTTTGGATATAAAGATGAATAAAACTCAGGGGGGAAAAAAACCTCTGGGAAAAACAATTAAGACTTTTCCCACCCCTACTCCCACCCCACCCTCACTTTTCTCTGCATTGAATCCAGTTAGACAGTTCTAGCAGAGGCTGCCCAACAAGCAGCCCAAAGCATCGCAGGCATGAAGCAGGCTGTGCTGTCCCGCTATGGGTATGTTTGAATAGACTGCATGTCTACCCAGACACCACAGCTGAAGATACCCAAAGGCTAAAAATTAAACTTACACTAATGCCACCCATTCCCACATTTTTGGTGTGAACCTCACATCCTCAGTCATTCTCCAGAATGCTTTCTCTAAAGATTATAATAATGATAATATTAAATAATGATAATATCAACATGCTTGATCAAGTAAGTAGACAAATAAATCCCAACAAGCAGTAGCTAATTGTTAGATCAATGAGGCTGAAAACAGTGTCTCTTGATGTTGTAATCTCCCAAATGGTATGCCAATCTTCATGAACTCAATTGAAACACATATAAATCTAAAAAAATGAAGTAAAGTCTGGTATTTTATTATATGCAACTCTAAATTACTATGCAACAAAGGACAGAAATAATACAGACCTAGAAGTATATATCTTATTTTAGAACATAAATATAAAAGCTATTTACTAAAACACTATTTTGGAATCTACTGGAATATTACACAAAAAGGACAATCCATTCTGACCAGTAGGTTTTACTCTGTGACTGTGAGGGCAAAACACTAAATAACCCCATGACTTTGATAACTCTCTGTTGATTTTAAAATACAAGTATATAACACACTCAGCAAAGGAAAATGAGAGTACAACATGAAAAGGAAAAATCTTTCTCTCTTCACCTGAAACCAAATCTCTCACCTCAAAGAGATGACTGTCTATATATCCTATGTCACATGAAGAAAAAGGAACGCATTGGTATATTTTAAAGTTTTAAAAGCTCAAAGCAAGAAAACATTAGGGACTCTGCAAAGAGACATTAATAACGTGTTGTACTCCATCCCATCTGCACCGTCTTCTCTTTTTCCCCCTAGTGTTTTTCAGGATGTTCTTCTTGGTCCCTCACTTTCTCTGTCTCACTAGCGAGTCTGTCTGCAATCAACGCTCTCGCCAGTCTCTCTCTTGCCATCTTCATTTTCCTTTCCTGTTTCTTGATATCTTTCTCTGTTACCAGAAATTGTTTGCAGGGGAGCTGTGGGACACCCCGACGAGCTCCTGGAATCCTCTCTGCCACACATGCAGTGCTGGCAGCGCTGGACATGGAGCTGCCATGAGGACCACCTGTGAGAACACCAGGCCGGGACTCACCTGTGCAACTAGGCACAAGTGTTTGCAGGGCTTTGGTAAGATCAAAAGGACTTAAGAGTTGTCCTGTGCTGCTGCAGGCCTGGAGTCCTTGAAGTCTCTTCTGCCAGCACACTTGTTGGGGCTTGTCCAAGGTTTCCTCCCATTGATGGTATCTGACCTCATTGCCTGGGTAGGATGTGATTCTCGTAACTGGACTCTTGAATATGTTACTGGACATCCTCAGTGGGATGGAGATGCTTAAATCAGGCTTTGGTTTGGATTGGTTTACCCAATCATGACACTTCCTCTGTGAAGTCTTGACCATCGTATCTCTTTCCCATTTACTCTATAAAAAGAAATCGTGAAATTGGATCTACATGATAAATGAAGCTTGCCTTCTTAGGACAATTACTTCCACTCTCTTGTACTTCCACCCCCCACTTTGGGGATAGATCTGACCTGCATCCTGGGAAATCATCAAGCAGACTTGTCAAAAACAGAAAGCTCAAGGTCAAAACCCAGAAGCTAGTCCAGATCATTGATCCTCCAACACCTTATAAGACCTTCTCCTTTATGAATATGATTTTATTCTTTTTTTGTCTTTGTCACTCTCACTACACGTGATTTAGTCTTGGTACTCTCTCATGATACACAGTACCCAATCTTTTTCTAAGTCCAAATTCCTACCATTCTTTTGTATTATGTGAATATTTATTTGGTTAACCCATTGACCACTTGGATTTCAGAGCTAAAATCATTAGTGATATCACCAAGCAACCCACTTTTAGTGACTCACTCCCATATCCTAGAAGTTTGGTCATGTTCAAAAATAAATAATTCAGAAAACATATTCATCCACTACAAATGTCTGATTTCTAGTGTTTTTAAACACTTATACAATAGATACCCTTTCTTTAAGATTGCCAGATCACCAGATTCTTAATTTCCCCACTTCATATCAATTAGAAGGCATGGTTCTTTGGAAAAGACAATAATTTTGAGAAAAATAGAAGGCAGCAGGAAAAGAGGAATAATAAATAGGAGATGGATTGACTCCATAACAGAAGCTATAGGCATGCATCTGCAGGAGCTCGAGAGAGCTGTTGAGGACAGAATAGGGCTGTTGGACATAACTCATTCATAGGGTTGCTGTGAGTTGGAGCTGACTCAATGGCTCATAACACACACATTCCTATTAATCCTGGATTCCATGGATTATGATCTCAATAATTCCCTGGAATAATCCAAAATTCTTTATCACTCATCATGTCTACCTTGTATAAAACTTCAAATTTAAAGATCTGATTATCTGCCCCACTATAGCTACTGCTGGTCTTAAGATACTTGCATGATATTTGGATACGACTGTAAATACAAAATCACCTACTTTTATTGTGAAATACCCATAATGCCTGAAAATTTTACCGTCTTTTTATGTGTTGACATATTTACTCCTCAATTTTCCCTAAAAACTATTTCAAATTTTCTCAACTTTTTTCCTTTATATATATATATTTGATATCCCTTAATTTGTCTTCTATCTCACAGAAAACTTGTAAAATACTACTAAATTGAAATTTTACCTATGTAGTTGCCAAATCAGCAAATATCTCTGATAAACTTCCATTGCTTCCCAACTTGCTCTAATAATATTTAAGCAAATTTCTTTTATTCTCCAATGGTGATCTGGATCTCACCTCTTTTTCCTTCTTACTAAGCTCTTCCCACCAACATTTCCATATTTCCCCTGTACTTATTTTTGTTGTTGTTAATCCTCACCCGAAGATATTTTTCTTTTTTTTTTTTTTTTTTTTTATAAATATATTTTATTGATTTTGTACAGAGAGGAAGGGAGAGAGATAGAGAGTTAGAAACATCGATGAGAGAGAGTCATCGATCAGTTGCCTCTTGCACACCCCCTACTGGGGATTTGCCCGCAACCAAGGTACATGCCCTTGACCGGAATCGAACCCGGGTCCCGTCAGTCCCCAAGCCGACGCTCTATCCATTGAGCTAAACCAGTCCCGGCTCACCCGAAGATATTTTTCCATTGATTTTTCCCCCCCAGAGAATGGAAGAGATGGAAAGAGGCAGTGAGAGAGAAACATCAACTGATTGTCTCCCGCATGCACCCTGACCAGGGCTGGGGATCGAGCCTGCAACCAAAGATAGGTGCCCTTGACCAGAATCAAACCCGGGACCCTTCAGTCTGAGGGCTGTCCCCTGAGCCAAACGGCTAGGGTGCCCCCTGTACTTTTAATCTTTTATGAACTGAATCACCCCCTCATCATTTACGTAACTGCAAGTCTTTCCTAACTACATGGAAATTTCTCACCTGATCGCTCTGGACCCCTCTTCAACCCCTGCTCTTCCTACTCCCACCCCTTCATTGTGAACCATTGAGAAAGATCATCTGCAGCATGTGTCTCTGTGGCCTCACCTTCACCCACCTCCTCAGATCAGCTTCGGCCGCACTGCCACCTGCCCTTACCATTCTAGGCTAAGGTCACAATGACTCCTTTGTTACTAAACCCAACAGGAACTGTTCATTGTTCATCTGACATGATCTTTAAGTGGGAAACTGTTAAATATACTTGGATAACTTACTTATGTGAATATTATTTGATGGCTGTGAATCTTATAAAATCTAAAGCGAGAGTTTGTTATACATGGAATGTATGACCTGGACTTCTGGACTCAGTACAAAAAATGTAAATGAACTGAATGTTTACACTGATGACATTTAGAAATCATAATAGCTTGATTCTACTGTGTGAAAATATACAACTAAATTACTTTCACCTGCTTTGACTTTATTTAATGTGGCTACTAAAAATTATATTTCATAATATGTATATTGCTTAATCCTACTATTGGACAGAGCTGGTCAGGCCATGAGGGAAAATAAAGCCCACAGAATGTGGTCAGAGAAAATTTTCTCAAGGTAAGAAGTATATCCTTGGCCCCCACTGCAAGATGCAAACTTTCTCTCTCTGTCTCTCTCTCTCTGTCTCTGTCTCTCTGTCTCTCTGTCTCTCTCTCTCTCTCTCTCTCTCTCTCTCTCTCTCACACACACACACACACACACACACACACACGTACACTAACAAAACAAAACCAGTGTTGTCCCAGAGTGCCACCACCACTCAAATGCCATGAGGTTGCATTCCTACATAGTCCTATCTGGACTAATCTCAAGTGAGAAGTCAGAAGTCAGTTAGGAAGATCCAAAACCAGAAACTAAGAGTCAAGATTTTTATTAATTCCCCTTTCTTTGGCTTCTATTAAACATTCAATATGTTTGAAAAACTTTTTCAGGGAGGGTTGTTTTAAAAATCCCTTTACCGCCAAAACCGGTTTGGCTCAGTGGATAGAGCGTCGGTCTGCAGACCGGAAGGTCCCAGGTTCGATTCTGGTCAAGGGCATGTACATTGGTTGTGGGCACATCCCTGGTGTGGGGTGTGCAGGAGGCAGCTGGTCGATGTATCTGTTTCTAGCTCTCTATTTCTCTCCTCTTCCTTCCTCTCTGTAAAAAATCAATAAAATATATTTAAAAAAATAAAAATCCCTTTACCTTTAATATGTGTAAATATCTAAGATATGTAAAGAATAATTACTCTCGCCAATAAATGAGAAGGAGATGATAGAATATGACTATAATTATTACTAACTCACTATTGGATTAGTGAGCCAGTCAAAGGACAGATGACACTGGATTGATTTGGATCTCAGTAAGCTGATTCTGATTAGAGTACTAGTACATTGATTGCTCTATGTTGGGAACTCTGGAACTGTCAGCCCCACCTACTGTTTAATTACCAAAGCCCACCAGACAAGTAAGTCCTTACTGACAAATCCCCTGGCTCCACTCCTCTGACAACACCTGGAGGGGTTTCCAAAATCCCACTTTGTCATGACACCCTTCTACCTGCCACAGGCCAGGAAAACATTTTCTGTGGTGCCCATTTCTGGGGGTGACACATGGGTAAAGGAAAGATCAGAGTGCAGACCTAGTGAATTGCAGGAATTAGCACAAAAACGGGTTTGCTGACAGAGAAGAGAACCTTTAGTATGTATAGCTCTCAGGGTCCACAAAGCCCTAGGGGTCACTACATAGTATTGAGGAAGAAGGTGCAGGACAGATCAGGTACTTTTGGGTGTGATTGTGCTTGGTGATGCCTGTAGCATGACATGGGTGATACTGATAATGCATTCAACAATGTTGTTCAGTGATTTATTCACTTTATGTTATGGAGTGCTTTCAACATACATTCAGGCACTAGTACCCACCCTTTGGAGTTGATAGTGTCAGAAAATGTTTTACATTTTCTTTATAAACTATACATATATAAAGCCAGCAATTGGAACACCGGAATGAACAGAATGACTGGTCCCTATGATGCCCACTGAAGCTGGCCAACCAGCCTGATCAAGGACAGGGTCAGCTGGCTAACTGCCTGTGACCCCTCTCCCCAGCTAGCCCCAACCCTGATCGGCCCCCCACCCTGGGGACGGTGCTGGCTGACTTCCCAGCCTGATTGGCCCCCATTTGGGCGGGCTCTCCAGACCCCACTCGTGCACAAATTTGTGCACCAGGCCTCTAGTAAGTAGATAAAGCACTTGCGGGAGTAGTGAGCCAGCAGACAGAAAGGAGATTTCCTTTGTTGGCTAGTATGTAAACAAATTTTCTTTGAAAAGTGTTTTCTCCACTTGAAGTATTCAAGTCTCCTATGATAATTGTTATTCTCAAATTCATATATTCTCTAACAGTTTATGCTTTATATTAATGTAACACTATTTTGTGTGGTATGTGAAAACTGATTACTATTATATTTTCTTGATTATTTTCTCTTATATCAATAGATGATAAATCTCTTTTTTAAAAAAAATAAATTTTATTGATTTTTTACAGAGAGGAAGGGAGAGGTATAGAGAGTTAGAAACATTGATCAGCTGCCTCCTGCACATTCCCCACTGGGGATGTGCCCGCAACCAAGGTACATGCCCTTGACTGGAATTGAACCTGGGACTCTTCAGTCCGCAGGCCAACACTCTATCTACTGAGCCAAACCGGTTAGGGCGATGGTAAACCTCATTTTCTTAGTCTTTTTGCCTTGAATTCTATATTGATAATTCTAGTGATAGCCCTATTTTGCTTTGTTGAGATTAGTCTGTTATAGTTGTGTTTATTTCTCTATTATCTACTTTTCTTTTGTGTATGAAGTTATTTTGTGGGGAAGAGAATTTTTCTAGATTTCTTTTTCTCTTGTGCTTGTGACTTTCAATTAGTTCTAGGTTTTCAATTGACCTGCATTGTGTGAAAGTTTGTTTTTCTCTATTTGCATT